GTAGGGTTGATTTGTAAAATGTTGTGAATATAACAGGTTTAAAATGATATATTTATTAAAAGAAGCAAGTCTTCCATGTGTTCCCCTTGTATTCACTCTCTCATACTGCACACCTACTCTTCCTGCACGTTATTGCAGGCTGCAGTCTCACTGCAGTTTCTTGCTCCGAAGAAGTGCAACAATAGAGACCAATTACCCTCTGTCTCCACTCTTATTGCCATAAGCCTGAAGAAAAAAAAAAAGTGAGTGCACCCCCTCCCCCCACTACCTTTTCAATTTCAAATCCTACCCCTGTTGGTAGTGCCATTTGTGGATTTGAACTCCCCGGCTTTGTGTGCGGTATTATCTAGAGATTCACCTGGTACTGATCCAATGAACCAATGCAACCTTACAAAGCTGAAGGGAAGAGTGTCGAGTACTCTTTGTAATAAATCATATGCCATGAAAAAGGATTTCTTTAACTCCTTTCCTCCATTATTCTCCATATCTCACCTTGTGGAAATGGGTCTGTTAGTCAGAGACTTAGACTCATATAGTAGGAAAAATGAACAGGGGAGGGAGAACTGAAATGAAAGGAAGGCAGAGTTCCTGAAGGTTTCTATAACTTTGGAGATTCCAGAAAGAAGAGGCACAACTTGAAAGAATAGGAAGCAGCCCTAAAAATAAACCCAGCAGAGGTCTTGGTACTAAACCTTCCTCAGTTCTAGAAAGGGATAAGGATGTTTTCATTAAAGCCGCTGCATAAGATATCCTTAAAACTAGTGATGACTTGAGCCCTCAGAGTCAAGGAGGTTCTGTCCAGATAGTTGCCCAGCAGGCCGAATGCTGGTCTGAACATCTTTGGATTTACTGAATTGAGCTGGTGTAACTTCTTAAGATCTGGCTGTCTCCCAAGCAGGGAGAGATGAATACTGCAAAATGTTTCAGTTTCCATTTCAATTTTGAAACTCATTTGCTTTGACTGAATTTGCATTGTGTTTATGTAAATTTATAAACACTGTAATAAATTTATCTACTTATAGAAAACAGAAATTTTAGAAAAAGACTGGAAAGCATTTCTGAAGTGCAAATTCTAATTCAACAAGTATAATCACAGAACCTGATTTAAACGTACATTCAATCACAAAGCAGAAACATAGTATGTGATCTGTGTATCTAGCAAACTTTAAGAAGCATAATCCAAAATTCAAACAATTGTTAAGGGCTTTAATGTTTTAAATTACATACATGTCACTTTTTGTGATGGCAATGACTATGTGACACACAACCCAGGTTTTCACCGTACGAATGAAAACCATGATCAGGTAATAGTAGCAGTTTTCCACTTTGCTTGCTGTAGAAAGCTCACCTACTTCTGTTTATACCTTTTTTCTAACCTGTGAGAGTCTGTGCCAGCACATCTGGGTCCATGCTGATATTACCTGCCACGTTCATAAGAGCATTCATGGGTATGGCCATTAAACCTCATGGAATGGTGTATTCTCCAGTGCACTTACTCTGGAAATATTCACCTGTTCCAACTCTCACTGATATTGAAACTTCTTTTGTCTTCCCTTGCACCTCGGAGGCTGTAATGTCTCTTGTTTTGCTCTCTTCCACATCCCCTTTCAAAGGTCATCCTTAAACAGTGCTTTGATAATAATTTAGAGTTTTTTCCCCTTGTTAATTTTGTATTGAACGCATTAATTTATTTACTGCACAAAATAAACTCAGTCTGTATAGGACAGATGTAAAGGCTGTTTCTAAGTCTAAGGAACATTTATAGTCACGTGAGGAATCGAACTGAAGCCAGTTAACGCTTGTGGTCTGAGTAAGAGAGCTGGTCTGGGATATTGAAGGATCCTGTACTATACTGGAATATAGTTGCTCCCCATTATAGAGCTGCTGTTTCCAGAGTATACCTACATTTCTACTTTGCCTACCCAATGCTTTAAGCAGCAAGTAAACAGTTAAGCAATGGAAGGAGCAAGCAATGTGTATTAGAAATGAGCTGGTTTAAGATTGGTAGGGGAATTAAGAAGCAGTGCAAGATGCAATTTCTTAGTTATCCTGTTCAAATTCTTGCATTGGAGGTATTAGCCACAAGGGAGATCCCATCGTCTGGGAGCAAGAGAATGTAACAAATGCAGGATCTGCAATAGGCATGTGGGAGACTCTTACCGTAAGTTTTGGTCATGTCCTGATATACGTGAGCTTTGGGAGACAGTTCTACATGTAATAGAGTCAATAATCAAATCTGAAGTGCCAAGGAACGCAGCCTGATGTTACCTTAGAGAGACCACAAGTTTGCAACAACTGAATATAGAGAGAATGTGGTAGATACAAATTTGTCTTTAGGCAAAAAGGGAAGAAAAAAGATTTAAAAACGGGAAAAAAAGAAAACTTTACACTGTTCCTAGACTGGAAAGAAATAGTAATGCCTACATCAGAAATTTAATTAATTGTTGTTACATTGATAAAGATGTGATATACCACATCAAAGACTAGCTAAATGATATTTGGAAATTAATTTGGGTTCCTATTAAATAGAGCTCAGAGGAGCTTCTCAAATGAATAATTTGTTTGTCAAGCATTGATTCCTTCTGTTTATAAAGTCTTCTCAAGTAAAGACAACTATTTTCAACTGTTCTTGTTGCTTGAAATGAATTGAGATTCATCACTACGCCGAAATGTACATGGCAAATTCAAATATTGCAAATTGCAATGCTTTGTTATCTTACAAAAATGAGATATTTCTTACTTCTGTTCCCTATAGAGATGACTTAAAACCAAATTTCTAAAACCCCAAATTTAATATTTACAATCCATGTTTGAATTTAAAATTTACTTTTGGTGCTCTATAGCTTGTCCGCTTCAATGCGCTTTGGATATGAACATAGCGGAATCAAAATATGCTTGTTTTCTGTAGTGTTATTGAGTTTTAAATATTCTTAAACCAAAATGTAAATGGGACAAATTAACACTAAAAGAGAATATTATTTGAAGTTTTGATCACTTAAGAAAGTTATCCTGTAGAAAGAGCGTGCTGTTTTCATGGGAACTTTGCCAAAATGCAATAAGATTTGTGAAGATCACCACAGTTTCTATGTTTGTTAAAGGAAAAACTCATTTCTGTGATTCTGCTTGTATACCAGCTTTACCCAAGTGTCATTCCACTTATGTGTCTGGAAGTACTTCTGATTTTATATTAATGTCTGTGTATTCAAAAGAAGATAGGATTTAGTAGAACTGAGTGGAAAGTTTATGTGAAGATAAAAAAAAGTAATCTTATATAACGTGTTTTGCTTTATATTGAAATGGAGACAACTGTCAGAGTTGTCTGGAATTGTAGCTGTAGGACTGTCCAAAGAAATCTGTCTGCTCTCTAGACAAGCAGACGAGTGACCACCAAGACAAGGAGGTGGCTTTCTCCACCACAGCGATCATCCGGCTCGCCTGTACACCAAGTCAGCAGTGATGGAGTTGCAGAGCTGGCAGCTGGGTGTTTGAACTCCCAGGCAGCCGGATGGTTGGGTTGTCTAAGGCCAAGGAGCACACAAGCTTCTGCCTGCTTAGCTTCCCAAAAGAATTTTTTTTTTCAAAAAAATGTCCCATTAACTTTGTATTTTTTGGTTCATAGGAAAACATTCATTCATCATTTTTGGAAATGAATTTAATCCTCTGGCCTTATCCCCTCACTTTTCTTAGCATTTCACCTCTCTGTCTTAGTTTTTATTTGGGTTTAATATATACAATCATTTGCTTCAGCTGTTAAAGAAGTGAGGCGTTTTACTTTCTTTTTCCAATTAAACTTAGTTTTTCGGTCTTCAAATTCTTAAATTTTTTGTCAAAGGATAATGCTACTGGAGTAAATCTCTATTGTTTGCATAGGTGTGTTTAAAAGATTAAGGCTGAACAGACATTCTCATAGTAAATTCTCGCAATGAAAGCTCTTCTTTTCTCAAGAAGCTTTAACCTCTAGCTGGGAGGTTGATTTTTTTGTTTGTTTTGAATGTAGAGGAAGTTGCATTTCTGCCTGGGCTTTTATTATTTGTGTGGTCTTTCATAGAATTCCTGAGCAAGATCTACCCAAGGTCCACTGCTCCCAAGCTCTACTTGAGATGACAGATGGGACTTTTCTTCCTGCTTGTATCAGTGGCCACAGATTTTCTAGGTGATCTCTGTGGTAGGCAAGGGACATGATTTCCCCCTCCTATTTGTGCCACTTCAAGCTTTTTGATGTCTTCTGTGTTCAATCTGCCAACAGCCACTGAGTTTTAATTGGACTTCACAAAGAATGGGATATTACTCTGTGGGACAGGGAGCAGCAGAATCAAACTCAAGACAACGTACTGTGACGGATATGAGTCAGGGCAGGAAGGAGAAGCCAAGGTGGCATATATGCTTCAATGCCCACAAGATTTGACTGCCAATAAGCATTTTAACTTAGTGTCTCGGTCAGCTAACTTTTGCGTAGGCGATTGCAGGAGGGGAAGAGACTGAGGCCCTGGGTTAGTGGAACAGTTACATTCATGCTTTCAATCCTTTAAGCACATACTTAATGGCCATTGATTTCAATGCTCTTACCAGCTTTGCTGAGTCAAGGTCTGACTTAGGACAAAGTAAAGGCCTGGCAATGCAATTCATGAATCACCCTCGTAGCTGTAAGCCCTCAGCTACAGCATTGAAGAGAAAAGAACCTTGAAGGCCAAGCAGGCTCTTCCAGTGCCAGCGTGGCAAACTGGCATAAGGCAAAGGACAGACTGAGCATTATGTATTGTGGAGGGGAAGAAGGCTGAATGACCAAAGATGTTTCAGTCAATGCTCTGCTGATCATGTTATTTCTAAAAGTGGCCATTGCTGCAGGGTTTCCTCATCCTTGGGGGAGAATTTGCTTTTTTTTTTTTTCCATGAGAATAACGTGTTTAACTGCATAAGATGCAGAATACAGCCATAATTCTGCACCTGAAGCAAAAAGAGGCTGCAGCCCATACATGTCCTTTGTTTTTTCATGTGTACAGGTGCTCCCTGTTGGGGTTTGATTTAAACCGACACTGGGCGAATCCATCTCCTTGGGCTCATCCCACACTGCATGGAGTGAAACAGCTCATCATTGAGATGTACAACAATCCGGTAAGTGGGGAAAGGTGATGCCAGAACAGCCACTTGCTGAGGTACCGACTCTCTCCCGCTGCGGGCTTGTGCAAGATGCCACTGACTCTGATGTGGTTTAACCCAGCGGCAAAGCAAAATAAGAGAGAAGTAAGCTAACACCACTTCCACTGCATGAGATCAGGGAACGTTTGTGTCTTTTGTCACAGGAAGCATCAGTGTGGAGAGAGCAAGCAAAACGAAGTTCAGCTCAGATTAAACATGGAATAATTCTGAAAGCAGGGCCTAAATTCAATCGAGCTGCTCTCGTGATGTCCTGAGCTGGATTCAGAACAGCAGGCCCCTCAAATTGAATTACTGCATGGCATTGATGTTTAATCCAGTGCTCCGGCAGGGGTTGCTATGTAGCGTGCAGAGCAGAAGGGGGATAATATTTGCAAATATTATATAAATACACACGCACGCACTCATGCTCATTCAGAGAAGCAGAGGTGTTCTTGAAGGTGAAATCTTAGCTAATCAGAGGAGATGGATTGCAGAGAATATGGAGAAGAAGAGGAGTGGGAGGGAGGCAGACAGCTATTGAATGTTTGACATCAAAGCGCAGAAGGATTATTGAACGTGGCACCTAAGAAAAACTGCTGAACAAAGATGGAGATGGGTAGAAAAAAATCACTACCAAAAAAAGAGGATTATTATTTTTGCTGTATGGAATTCCTGGTATTTGTCTTTTCTTTTTATTTCTCATTATGGAGATGGCATTTGGATCTTTAATTCCCTGTAGTTTCGCTAAATATTTTTTTTTCTTTTTGTTAGTGTGAAAAAGGACCTGGTTTGCCTTGCTAATAAAGAATGAGGATTCTTACCCCTGGCTACTTCATGCATAGGATAAGAGCTCCTTTAATTTAACTCCTGGTTCTCCCAGTACATCTTAATTGGACTTTTTATCTTCCAGCTAGTAGTAATACCTGTGCGGAAGGGGTTTTAGGTACAAGGAAGATAGGTTAATAGATGAAGTCCTTGCATATGAAGTGGAATCCAATTGCACTGAAAATATTTTCTTAGACTGCTAATTGTTTGGCACAGAATTTGTCTTCCTATTCTGTTTGTGCAGCACCTAGTATTGTGCCTGTGACCAAGTCTCCTAAGCCCTGCTGTATTAGAGTGATGATGATGATGGAAAGTAAAGAAAGCAGCTTTACAGCCAGGCTGTTTTTTCCTGTTTCCTACCCCAAATAGCAAGACAATTTTCCTTCTAGATGATGGAGAGAGCATGCAGGCTGCTTTGTCTGAGAAGAAAGTTTTTTCTTCCGAGAATAAAGAGGTCCTTAAACATTACAAGAAAGTTAAGTGTGTAGGGGAATGCTTCTAGCTAGTAAAGCAACAAATCCTGGCACTATTAAAAGTCACTGTCAATAAAATAAAGCTATTCTTGGGTAGAAAAAAATTCTTTTCAGCTTTGTCCCATTTCTGTGAAGCTTTGAAAAACTGGTAGTTTACAGCTGCCTTATGTGTGAGGAACAAATTCATTCGCTGTGGTGGCTAAAATAAAAAACCAAAAGAAGTGTTTGGTCAGAGTTGGAATGAAATGGAAATCTTTTTTTCCCTCCATCTCTCTGCTTCCCACCCCTCCCTAGTGATCAACCTGAGATGAACCAGTTCCAGTCCATTTCCTTCTGAGGGAAAGAAAAAGGAGCCTTTCAAATACAAATGCAACATTTCATTTTCCGAGTTACTTAATTATTTTTTTAAAAATCGTATTTAGGAACGTTTTTTGGGATTAAACTACCAGCAAAGTTCAGGTGGTTCTTCAGAGTTTCATTTCTCAGTGAATTAGCTACTCACCAAAAAATCTTGTCTGGTTTTATCATGCCCTAGTTAATACCAGCCTTTCTGACAGCTTTAGAGACTCTCAGCAATACAATGCAGTATAAGTGATTATTGTTTTTTTCAGGCAATACCAGATTCTTAGTCCCTCTGATCCTAGTAATATTTGTATGAACAGACCATATCCAAAGTTCTGGGGCAAAAGGGAAAGACAAGCCAGCTGCCTCAGAGAGAGGAGTACGGGACTGTACACGTGCCGTCCTGCTTTAGTAGTGACTGGTTTTATTAAGTACTTGAGATTAAAAAACCTCCCACCCCTCCCCTCCTGACAGAGTGCCAGAATAAAAACCTGCTTTGAATCACTTCAGGCTGCTAAAGATTTTAAGTACTGTCCAGGTGCAGAGTGTAACTTCTATATGAGTAACACATGATAGATGGTTGGCTGCATGCGTAGGTGAACCAGTTGCAGGGGAGCTGTTGTCAAACTGCCACAGATCAGGGATTATGCATTTGAACGTGTCTGTTCTGCCACCCTCTCCTCACCTGGACTCTCCCCCCACTGGAGAGTATGAAATTAAATAAAATGCAAAGTAAGGTTCCTTGCAAAATGGTGTAATAAAAAATAACCTTCATCCCTCCCATTCTAGATAAGGTCTGCTGTAAGGAGCTGCCCACAAGAGATTGGATTGTTTAAAGCAGAGGTAGTTCAGCTTTGTGTTGCTATTGCAGAATGGCTCAGTGCAGGCCTTTTAGATGTATGCATTCCTTTAAATCATTTAAGGAAAATTAGCTGCCATAAGAGCATAAAACCACATACTAAATATTGCTGTACAGAAGGATTTTTTTTTTTTGCTGCTGCTGCAGTATGGAAGATAAGCTGTTGCCTTTGAAAAAAGTTCATTCTGGAGGGAGGAGGATGACTGATACAGAAATAAGTGAAATGGGTATGAGGCACAGGAACAATGCCATAGCTACAGTGATTCCAGCACTGAGTGGTCCAAGACTAAGTGTTTACTGTAGCTGCTGTGTAAATATAAACCAAAGCACCTATGGTTCTCTGCTCTTCTGGGTTTTACAAAGTATGCTTATTTTATTTTTAGAGTGTTTCAAATTCCAGAATGACCATAACATCTTTAGGAGGATGTGGTTGCGTCAAGAAATCAGAGAACAATAGGAAGCTTTTGATCTGTATCACTGATTTTGAAATGCTGATGGCAAGTCACTGTCATTGTGTTGGCCTATGTGAAGGGAAGGGATGTTTTCATCTGTTTCTAGTTGTGTCAGTCTTGCAGATGAGACTGAAGTGACAGACTTGCTCTTCTAGATCATGTGTTGTTGATTGAAGGTATTTCTGTTCTGAAGCACCTTTCCCTGGCTATATGCCAGACATTACTGCCTTCTCACCTCTCCACCAGATGGTATGTGTAGATGTTTACCCTGTCTATGCTGGAGCACATTAGTGCAATTAGCTGAGAACACAAACGTATTTTTTAAACCAACGCAGCTGACTTTAGTCTGAAGTACATCAAATGATGTTGATATGAGGTGTTTCACCAGCCAAACTGTGAGGCCGGGACATTCAGCTTGGGCATGATAACACACTTCACGTAGAGAGCTGTTTGGAGAATGAATGTCTAGGTAAGGATTCTAATAAAGTGCATATAAGCAGCTAGATTTAAAGACGTGAACAATCTGATTGAATTCAGCAGTGTTCCTTGTGTGCTTACAATTAAGCAGGTGCTTAAATATTTAGGACTGAGGATCAAGTGCTCAGCACTGGCAAGCTCAGGATATGGATGGTCTATGGAGATCAAACTGTCCTTATCTCTGGGATAACATGAAGCCACAGAGACAGAGCAGTAGGATTGCCCGATTGTTGGACAGGTTTTGTGTGGCCATCCAGCACTTTTTCCAACAAGCAAATGCACTCTTTAAAACAGATTTAATGAGTGAACTTAGGTAGTGTGTTCAGTGTCAGCGCAGTCCCCTTGGGTATGTGCATTGTGACATGGTCTTTAATCATAGGGGCTCATGTTATTCTCTCAGCTAGACCCTGCCTCACTGAGTTCTCCAAATGGAAAACTTTCACATAATAAGCAGCTATTCAGCGTTTTGTTTTAGCTTCAGTGTTCATTGTGCAGCCCTGTCCTGTATTTACTGTGTGCTATTCATATCCTGCTCTGAGAATAGAATTGTTAATCTCGTGGGCTTTTTTGTTTTGCTCATTGCTTTACCCTTGGAGCATTTCAGAAGCGTTAATTATTTTTTGGAGGACCCCTGTGAGAGACAGACACGTTAGCTTTGTATGGATAGGAAACAGAGGCAGAAACAGTTATGATCAGAAGTACCTATTTATTTGAGATAGGTAATTTAAGATGCCTGGGATCAGATTTGTTTCATGTCATTCACCAAGTTCACTGTCTCATTTCAACCCTTTTCTTCTCCACAGAAGATTGAGATAGACTATTTCTGTCATTTGGAATTCATAGGACCTAGAAAAGAAGGAATAGACAGCAACTGACTGCTTGAGAAGAATCTGTTTCAGGTGATTTGCCTCCCTCAAATGCAAATGCAGAGATGGGATACAGTGTGCCCAGGGAATCTCGTTGCAACACTGTACTTTGTCTTCTTGCATCCATCTTCTATTCTCTCTGTTTTCTACATCCTGTTGTTATTGAATCTGGAGTCCTCCATGCAAATGATTCCTATGTTAGACATTATTCACTTTGTGTCCCGAGTGAGCTGGAGACCTGACAAAAAAAGAAAAGAAAACAAAAAGCCACCCACCTGGGATGTGTTCATTAATTATCATCTCCTTTGTCATGCACACATATACTGAAGTCTTAAATTATTGCTACAGAGTCAACTTTTCTGTTTCCATTCCTGACTTTGGAGTGCTTGATGTTGCAGCCTTTACATTCTGTTAATACTATTCTGGGTGAAAGTTTTCATTGATTCAAAGCAAAACATACAGCTGAAATGAAGTCCCAGCGTGCTGAAATCTGAGTCATCTGCTGGGCTGGAACCTTTAGATCCACCACACAGACATCTGCCACAAGAGCTGATGAATTAACTGATAGAGGATGGCAATCTGCT